ATAACAGGAAATACATATTTGGTCTTTGTCCTTGGCTCTTGGCACAGAGCTCCTAAAACCCTTGGAATTTCCTAAATGATAAGTGGGAGAGGAGCATCTTTGGTGCTAAGGAGGAAACTCTCCAGAGGCTCCTAGGTAGCTTCAGGATGTAGACTGGCTGACAGAAAGTCCAAGCTTTGATTAGAAGCTTGGAACTTTCAGCCCCATCCCCCAACCTCCAGGGAGAAGAGAGGGTCTGCAGATTGAGTCAGTCGTCAGTGACCAATGATTTGGTCAGTCATGCCTACCTGATGAAACCTCTGTAAAACCCTGAAATGATGGGATTCAAGGAGCTTCCAGTTTGGTGAAGATACTGAGGTTGAACATGCCTAAAGAAGAAATTCTGTGCCATCCCACTCTCATGCCTTGCCCTATGCATTGCTTCCATTTGGTTGTTCCTGAGTTGCATCCTTTATAGTAAACAGATGACAGTAAAGAAAGTGCTTTCCTGAGTTCTGAATCATTTTAGTGAGTTATGGAGGCTGAAGAGAGGGTTGTAGGAATCCCCTGACTTTGTAGCCAAGTTGATCAGAAGTTTGGGTAATCTGGGGACCCAATATTTGCAAATGGCTTCTGAAGTGAGGGTAGTCTTACGGAACTAAGCCATTAGACTTGTAAAGCCTGACACTAAATTCAGGTAGTTGGTATCAGAATTGAAGTGAATTATAGGACACTGAGTTGCTGTCAGAATTGTTTGGTGTCAGAAGGGAAAAAACCTTATCAAGGGGTACCAAATTTCCATTTACTGGAGATATACTCAAGCAGGGACAGATCAGATGACTGCTGGCAAAGTTGTTGCAGGGACTCATGCATTGGGCAGAGGAATGACCCAGATGAACTCTAAGGCAGGAAGGCATGGTCCATTCTGACAGATGCCATTCTACAAACTGCTCACGAAGTGTACGGGATGGGGAGCAAGCATTTAGAAACTTTTACAGCATCTTGACATTCCTGAGGTATCTAAACACATGCTCAGTGGATTCATCTGAGGAAACAGAGTCCAGACCAATCTGGGTGTTACCCAACCCCCAGTGAGTTATATAAGGCAGATGCTGCATACTAAGCATATGAAGTGGACCCTCATATAGTTCTACAACTGACCATAAATTTAAAAAGCAGGTCCTTCACCACAGATGGTCTGAGAAGTGCTGCTCAGAGACTTGGCCTCACTGGATGACCCTGGCAAGACCTTGTCTAACCACCCCATCTTAAGTAGGCCTCTTTCTGCTACTTCACATCACATGCCCTCTTTGTTTTCTCAACAGCAGTTGCCCAAATTTGCACTCATCCTATGTATTTGTGTTAGTTATTGACATTCTCCCTGCCAGTTTGTAAGCTCACGGGGGCAGGGGCCTCAGCAGGCCTATTCATCCCATACCCCAGCTCAGCCTGTTGGGCACTGAGAAATGACCCTATGAACATAGGTTGAATAAGTGAATTGTCATATTATATAAAAAGCATTCCTGATATAATTTCAAACCAGCCCTCCCACTAAAAAAAAAAAAGAAAAACTCAAAGTACTAGAAAAGTATTACAGTCATCTCCTTCGATGCACTGGAGTGCTTATCAGACAGGAGCAATTACCAACCAAAATTGAAAGGCAGGTAGGAACCCAGAAAGGTAAATTCAGCATGAAAGCTACTTTTGGCTTGAGGACATTAGCCAATTCTGGAAAAACTGAACTTGTGTTTTGGTGACAAGAGGGCAAAGAATCAAATCCCAAGACCCACTGAAGTAGGTAAGTCTAATAGGGGACCTATCCCACATTAAGCTAGAATACCAAAGGGCTATACATGCAAGGGAAGAGTGTACCGAGAAAACCACCTTCACTACCAAAGACCACAAGGAGGCTGTCATGGTGCCAAGCAGAGCTGAGCTGGGAAGTGTGTCTGAGGTCTGAAGTGTGATGACTTCAAATCAGCCTTCATATAATCTGCAGCTTTAGTCTGCATCACCTGGGGAGTTTCAAACCACCCCACCACCACCACCACCGGGAATTTAGTGTAAAGCAAATATAAATCCTCCCTAACAAAAAGCAACTAGTCCTAGGCTTCATATCATTGCTAAAAATTAAGTTTCAAGAACAACAGATAGCACATTCTGGCAACCAAAACACACAAAGAAATGCATAACACCAAGAGAATATGCCAAGAGAAAAAACTGAAATGATAATTAGCCACAAAAACCTCACATATTGGATTTATCAGTCACAGATGATAAAACCACTTACTATGTTTAAAGAAATAAAGGCAAATCTGATATCATCCTAAGGGAACAGTCAACTATAAAAAAGCAGCCAAGCGAGTGAGACTCCAAATCAAAAAAAAATACAGATTTTGGCTGGGCTTGGTGGCTCAGCCTGTAATCCCAGCACTTTAGGAGGCCAAGGTGAGTGGACTGCCTGAGCCCACGGAATAGAGATCAACTTGGGTAACTTGGCAAGACCTCATCTCTACAATAAATTTTTAAAAAAAAAGCAGCCATGCAACCCTGGACTAGGTAATGGTTCTTAGACATGACCCCAAAAGCACAACCAATTTTAAAAAATAGACACATGGGACATCATCAAACTTACAAACTTTTGTGCTTCAAAGGACACAATCAAGAAAGTGAAAAGACAATGCACAGAATGAGAGAAAATTTTTACAAATCACATGCATAAGGGTCAAGTATCCAGACTATATAACAAACTCTTACAACTCAATAATAAAAGAACAAATAACCCTATAATGACATTGCTTTGCAATTGGTTTGTTTATGGGCTTGAAAATTTTTAAACAGTTATAGTGAATATCCTACTGCACTAATAGCTTTAATTAACTCAGAGCAAGCCAGTTTTTTTCCTCTGGGTGTCAGATGTCTCTAGCGTATTTTATCAGGCTAGGAAGTAACATTGGCCAGAAGCTTTTATCTGAAGATCATCAACATAACACACAGCAAGGTGTTCCAATTGAGCACTCATGCTCATCGCTTCAGTGGAAACAAAACCCAAAACACTATTTGATCCTTGATATCCTATTTCCAGAGAAGTAAAATGAGACAGGACTGTGTTTTGAATGCAACAGACCGCAGTGATTTGTGAAATCAATAACTCCTCCAAATGGCTTCCAAGACATCGGGTAAACTGTCCAAGGCCACGCTGCCAGTGAGCCGTAGAGCCATGATTTGAACCTGGGCAGTCTGACTAGAGCTGATCGTAACCATGACTCATCACAGGTGCCTTCCAATCCTCCCTAACAAAAAGCAACTAGTCCTAGTCCCAGAACCTGGCCTCTGGCATATGATAGGACCAGGTGACACAGCCAGGTGAGCAGTGCTTAATGGATGATCATATGGTGATCCTAGGACCTCATGAAGGTCCCATTGATATCTTTCTTGGGAGATATGGATTTCCTCCAGATGCTGGTCCCAGTAGGGGCCAGAGTTGTGCTTATTTGGGGTGGGAAAGTCCAATGTAGTTTGTTCATTTGGGGCTGGGCTGAAGTTTTGCAAAATTTTGGTAGCAGAAGGATGTTTTGAGGTACAGCAGCCTCTGGGGCTTCTGGTACTTAGGTTCCCAAAGTAGAAACTCATGGTGGCTACTAGCTTTTCAAGTACTGGAGAACAAGACTCAATACCTCTGCTCCTGCCTTAGTTCCTGGGATATCCTTGGCTGCCTGAACTTGTGGTTGTAAGGACTGTCTTGTCCCAGGAGCCAGGCCATTTGGGGAGGGCTGTTTCCAAGCTTTAAAAGCAAAATTCCTAGGAGTTCATTCTCTATGTGGGTCAGCTGACATCATCTGAACACAAAGTATGTGGGCACCTATTCAGTCCCAAGATGGGACTGCCTGACTTTGTCTCACACAGCAATGGAGTCAGGGTACATGCTAAGTGAATAGGTATGCTATACTATGGCCAATATGAAAATGAACAACAACTTCCCAAATGCTGTCGTCTTTCACACTAAGTTCATAGCTCCTCACCAAGAATTTGCCTCAGGAGGTGGTCAGGAGAGCAATGCTGGCAATGTGGCAGTAGTTACAGTAACGTCCACCATCATTACTATTATAGCTAGTGCTTACTGAATGTTTACTATCTGCCAGGCACCATGTGAACAAGTGCAGCTCACTGGATCCTCACAGTAATCTTGAGGCAGTTTCTAATTTACAGATGAAGAAAAAGAGGCTCGAGGAGGCTGGGTTACTTACCCAGGGTCATACAACTAGGAGGTGGGGGAGTAGGAGTTTGAAGCCAGGCTTGCCTGCCTCCAAAGCTGGGGGTGCTGACGCGCTATGAGGAGTCACATAAAGAGGCAGCAAAGAGGATAAAGACTGGGGAGCTTTTATGGTACTCTCCAGTTTTGGGGGTAGACGCCAAAGGATAAAGTGGGCAGTGGCAGTTGTAAAGAAAAAGAAAAACCACGTGAGTCCCTGTGGCCTGTAGCAAGAAAGACCAGGAGAGCCCACAAAGAGGGTGTGGTTCAAGAAATGGTAGGCTATACAGCCTCCTTTCTGGTATATTCTCAGAATAAAGGTGATGACATCTTACAATAGCAGAAATTTTTTGTATCTCCCTTCTGGACCCTGGCACTACTTAGATGGTCGTGCCAAGCAGGCCAGCCTGGCAGAGGAAGAGCTAAGGTTCTGGGGGCCATTCACAAAGTGAAATTGTCTTTGTGAAAGACAAGTGAAGTGGTGAAATTGTCCTTGGTCCCATTGGTGGCAGAACACCGTCCACCTAATTTTAGCATAGATCTTTTAAGGGCTATGTGTCACCCTAGTCATGGCACCTTCCATGTGAGAATACTGGCATTTCCCTTCCATCTGATTCAAGCAAAGCTCTGAAAAGCTCTATTACTCTTCCAGAACTCTATCTAAGCATATCTTCTTTTGTAATGAGGACAACAAACTGTTCAGCGCCGTATGACAAGCATGACAATTGTGTGCTTGGTGACATCATAAGAACTGGGGAGGCTTCCTTACCTCATCTGAAGAGCCATTTTCCACTCTGAATCTTCCAGCCCTTTGGATGGCTCCATCAGCATCACTGGAAATAAGCTGGAGCGGAGGGATAAAAAGCATTCTATTAGGTAGCAGGTCATCATTCGCAATGCTCCTTCTGTCTGCCTGCATCTATCCTATAAAGTAAGTCATTTTTAACAGCACGGGCTGGAGCTAGAAGCTGAAAGCCTTTTTAAAGCTGTATCAGCTGAGTCCTCATACAGTGAGCCCCCACTGTTTCTAGGAGCCCAAGGGTAAGAAACACCTAGCCCACTAGAGTGGAAAACAAGAGCATTGTATCTAAATTTGAACATATTCCAATGCTGCAAAACGTGAAAGCAATGCTGCCTAGAACAACAGTCTTAATACATATCACATGTAGACAAGTGGCATCTCACAGATGGCAAGACCGAAAGCCAAGTTTCAAGTTCAGTTGCCTTCACAGGAAAGCCTAAAGAACAATTAGTGGCTGGCATGAACTCAAGGCTCTACTACCATCAGAGAAGGCGCCTGTGCTTCATTCAGCTTTAAACCGTTTCCAAAAGGCCAATTAGCTCCTTCCCAGGCAGGCAGCCTGTGTTTTAGCTCTGGCAAGGTGCTGCTTGCAAATAGACAGTCTCCAGGGAGCTCGATGCTGGAAAGAGGTAAGTGAACAGACGGGGGCATGGCACATCAGTCCTAAAATGACTGACTCAAGAGTCAACTTATTTTTTCCTCCTTGATTTCTCAGTAGCAACTTGAAAAAACAACACATCTGCTTTCAGCCTTTTAAAACTACCCACAATTTGTAGCAAAGATCTGTCAGCAATTTCCATTTCTCAGACTCATCAGAACACAGTTGCCCCAAAGGGCACTTCTCACCTCTCTAACTCCAGGCTCACCCAGGTAAGTTTCTCAGTTATCTCATCTTTTCACTTAAGATATATGAAGGTGTGAAAATTAAAGGAAGAATTTCTGGGGAAAACCCCCACAAATTTTCCCAAAGAAAATTATTTGAAAGAGATTGATATATTTTTTCAAGACAAATATAAAAAATAGTATCTGGGATTTAGTTAGTGGTTCTAGATGCCATGCATTCCCCTTGCCTTAACATGTATTATCTCATCGAATTCTTATAATAATGACACAAGGTAGGTGCTATTATTATTCTTGCTTATGAATAAGGAAACTGAGGCAGAGAAAGGTAAAATAGCTTCTTAAGGCCACACAGCTAGTCAGTATAAGTAGAGCTAGGATGTGAACAAAAGCAGCTAGACCTCAGAAACTCATCATTTTCTTTTAACCACTACCCTACCTAACCATCCTCCAGGAAATGCCCATGATAAGGTCCAGTTTTTATACTTCATCTTCCTCCTGCAAAATAATTTATAAAAACAAATGCTTTTGATAGCATCAGATCATTACACTGTTGTTAAACTGAGGATGAGAAATAGAGGCAATGTAGTAATGAATTTCACCTTGCCCTTGGCTCCTAGGCCATGATCTGTAAGCTCTGTGTGAGAGTCTGTTTACTTAAGGATTTTTGGCCACATTGGATACTATCAGTGTGATCTATGGTGAGGGCTTTGGGTCACATGGTATCACTTCTACTTCTGGAGGGGCTAGAGGCTAAGGTGAGCCACACGGGTCAACCACGTACATGTGTCAAGCCCCACTAGAAACTCTGGACTCCACAACTCAGGTAAGTCTCTGGCAGGGAGTACTCCATGCACACTATCATACATCATTGCCAGGAGGAGTCAGTGCTGTCCACGACTCCACTGGGAGAGGAGAACTAGAAGCTCTGCACTGGGAACCCTTTTGAACTCTGTCCCATGCATCTCTTCCCTTGGCTGATTTTAATCTGTATCCTTTTACTATAATAAACCATAAGTGATCTTAACAGCTTCTGGTGAGTTCTATGGGTCCTTCTAGCAAACTATTAAACTGGAAGGTGTTCTTGGGGACCCCTGAACTCTGCAGTTGGTGTTGGAAGTGAGGTGACCTCATGGACTGTTCTCTAATTGGCCTTCTTACAGAGCCCAATTTTAAAGTACAAGAGGAAGATATATTTAGGTCTTCTAGGGTCACTGCCATTTTCACAGGAGATGTATAGAGGATTCAACATCTGTGACTTCTTTGCTTGTGGGTTTCTACTCTTAAAATAGAATTGCAAATAGGTGTTAAGTCGAGTGTTATTGGTACAGGCTGCTTCAAGAGCTTTGGGAGAAGCATTCTGAGATCTCACCTGGATTTAGCAAGAAAAGAGCACTACAATCAATTAATAACATCTGACATAGGCCTGTAAGTGAGGGACACACATACCCCTTACTTCTTACCCCTGAAACAGAGGTTGGTAGATATAGTCCTGACTATAGCTAGTCTCATCTAAGACTCAAAGGCTCAGGAGAAGAGCTGATAGTCATTTACTGATTTGTTCATTCATTTACTCATTCATATAAAAAAATAAAAAATAAACATCATTAAAACACTATGTTCCAGATACTATCAGGCAAAAGCAATGATGTTCTTTTCCTTTGTTGAGATTAGAACAAGAAGCATATCGCCTGTTTTGCTTGAAAAGTTCAAGAATAAATTAAGAACACATTTAATGATTTGACAGTAAGAAGGAATTTGGCTCCCTCTGAACTCATAATCATGAAATCCATAATGACAGATCTCAGGCTAACAGGTTTGGTTCTTATTTTTACTATCTCCCTATCCCCATCTTCACTCAAGTCACATCATCTCTCAACTGGGTGATGGCACCACCTCTCAACAGGTCTGGATGCCCATCTACCGTTTCTCCTCTCCAAACAGCTCCTCACACCGCACTCTGTAGCCCGGGTGACAGTGCAAACTGCAAATCTGGTTGTGTTCCACCATCACACCTCCATCCATCCCAGCACCCCCACTTCTTCCCACCAGAGAGCATGCATGAATGGGACTCCCCAGTTTGGAAGGCCTCCTCTTCCACCTTCCCCTAAGGAACCCCCCTCATCTTCCAGTTCCTTGAAAGGCCTCACTGCACTAAGATAGCTTCCTGACCCACTGTCTGGAAAACTGGCCCTGTGGTAAGTTCTTGAGGCACTCCATAGAAGTGTGATGTACATTTCTCTGTGTAATTACTTGATCAAGCCTGTCTCTCCTGAGGCATTCTCTCTACTCTCCAGCAGGCTTCATGGTGACAGCAACTACTTTGTTCTCATCAATACAACCCCAGAGCTAAACGCACCTTCTGACATAGTATCAATATTCATCAAATAATTATAAACAAAAAATATGTAAATAGACAAATGCTAAATTCTTATTGATAATGACCAAAGAAATATAAAATAAGGGTAAGAACTATGCTGGCCCTGGAGACCAAAGAAAGTTCATTGTTCATGCAAGAAAATGTCAAATCTATTCTACCAGCTCTACCGAGAAGGAAAGACCAAGATGAAAGATAGGCCAAATAACCTGAATCACCATCTTCCGGGGAAAGTCAGCTTGAGTGGTAACTTAATCAAACCAGGCAGGTTCAAGCTAACATCTCTGAATTCATGCTGGCAAGGCCTGCTTGAGGTGAGCATGGAAAGGAGGGCAGTTGGTGGGCAGGAAATCCTGCTAGTCACACTCAGGGATGGCACAGAGTAGCAGCCCCAGTGACCCCCACCCCCCATTCACTGGCCTCACCCCAGCTAACTCGCACAGCCTGCTAACTAAAGTAGAGTGGGCCATGGTGGTTGGGGCCTAATGTAGACCAGTATGCCAGCTGCTGCAAAAGAAGACAGTGCCCCAGAAAACAAGGGAAGAAAAATAACACTGCAGGGAAAATATCCTTTTAACACAGCAAAGATGCTGATTGCCAGGTAGCTGTCTCTATCAGTTTTCTTCCTATTATTCCTCACAAAACTCTGATCTGGTCAATTAAGACTACAGAAAATCTACACTCTTTCCTTTACTAAGAGAAGATCTGATTCAGGAATGACACAATCTCTGTTGGAAACCATCTCAGCATCAAATAGCATACAGCCTAGAAGCTCTCTCCCCCAGTTCATCCTGTGTGGTACAGAGTTCTAGCTGCCACCAATATCCATTCTCTCCATCTGCCACAGTAATGGTGAAAGCACCGAATCCTAGATACTAGACCAGTAGGAAACAACTACCACAGTAATAGAATTGTAGCTGGACATAGGCTTGACCCCATTTCCCTAGAGGTGGCTATTTGATTTAATTTTCTTTACTTCAAAGTGGGTTGAAGTCCTGGGTGGCATTTAGGAGATTTTTTATTCTTCACTGGCTAGAACTCCAATGACCAGAGAAATCCTGGAAGTCCATATTGAAGACAGTAGATTCATCTTGAGACTGAATGTGTGGGGCAGTCACCACCCACTTAGAATACCTGGTTAGATGTTAGAGAGGAATAAACTTCCTGTTTTTCACTATGTGTGGCATTCTAAGCCAATTAATCCACCCCACAAGAATAAAAAGAACAATCACTAACCCTATGATAAGTTCACAATTTAAAAAGGGGAAAACTGACCTCAAGTGTCAGAGCAAATGTTCTATGAGACAGATTTACTAAAAAAAAGCATAAGGAACTTTTAGAAAATCTCTAATTATGGTGATAATTTGGGAATATACTGGATCTATGAAAATGGAACAATCTGTGATCAGCTTTCAGATGAAAAGCATAATTCCTGAATTTCAAAATGCGGTGACCACAGTGAACCAAAAAGTAGATACTAATCTCTGTAGTTTTGCCTCCAAAGTGAGAATATTAGCATGAGATAAATAGAAGAACATGATTGCCAAAAACATAGAGACCATATCTGTCAGAAAGTGTAAAGAAAAACAGACTGAAGTGTTATGAAGGTCTTTGGGCAGAGACCCTGATAATAACTAAACCATCCCCTAGACAACCGTTCCCTGAGCAAGATTTCCTACTAGTGAGCAAGACCAAAACTACAGAGATCTCCATTAGTGAAGGTAGATGGACCTGGACATTGTAGAAAGGCAGTAGAGAGCAGGACAGTCTGAGATCTTACCACTCCAAAGCCAGCAAAGAGAAGGGTATTGGTCTGGGCTCTTCT